ATATGGTGTTATACGCATTAAAATCACCACTAAGAAGCAGGGGGTTGAAGGGCATCGTTGTATGGTGTCAAGTATGTTTGAGGTGGTGCCGTTGAGGAAGAGTAAATTGAAGCTATTATGTACTGTGCGTTATTGAATGCTAGTAAGATGGCAAAGAAGTCTCGTTCTTTCTTGATGACTAGTGGAGACCAGGATGGGTTGGTGCATGCTATTGCGGCTCTGGGGGATTGTTCGTTAGTTTCTGCTTTACGCTGATAGACTTTCCACGATATGGGAAGGCTTGCTACTTGACCCTCTCTACAATAAGGTTCCTGTATCAGGAGTAGATCTGCATCGTGGGATGTTGCATGAGTGACTGCTTGAGATGTCGCTGCCTGCGCTCTTTGTAGATTAATCTGGACGCATTTTATGGGGCTAAATGTTACTTGGTTGTTGTGGTCTGTAGGCATAGATTGATGGATGTCCGCAGTGCTATTACTCGTAGGTTGTGCTGCGTTTGATTCTTTCAACGTACCTGCTGTAGGTGGGACAGGAGATGTCATAGGCGGGGTGGGCGCAGGATATTTTGTTATTACTTCTGTAGTTATAGTCTGCACAATTGATGCAGATGGCCATCCCGGATTTGCAGTTCTTGACGTTGTGGCTTCCGGAGCAGTACGCACAGTAGACTTTGTTCTTGCAGTCTTGCTGCGTGTGCCCGAATTCCTGGCACTGGAAGCATCGTCTGGTGTTGAAGAATTCCGCAATTCGGTGCACTCTCCAGCCAAGATACAATCTGGGGATATTGCATGATGCGGTGTGGAAGGCTGATGGCTGACATTCCAGCACCCATTTGACGCCATTTGCTTTATCTTTTAGCCGGTATAAGACTTTTGTAGTGCTGCTGGTAAGGTTGTATTCAGAGCCTTAGTGCCCGTTCAATGTCCTCCTTGGTGACGTCTAGTTTTACGTCGTGGATTGCGACTCTAGGTAGTCTGACTGCTGGCAGTTTTGTTTTGGCAAATTGTTTCCTTTTGGCAAATTGTTTGCCTTGCGTGCTTTCTAGTGTCTTTGTGAGGTGGGTGAGATCCTCTTTGGTGGCGCAGTCAACAGCAATCCCCTCCTTCTGGATATTTCTAACTGAGTGTATTTTTACACCTAGTGATGGGAGAGGGAATTTGGCGTTCAGGTGTTCCTTTAGTACTTTCCTTGTGGCGTTCGAGTCTTCTTTTGGGTAAATAAGAAGTGTGTGTGTTTCGTAGAATGTGATGCCACTTGCGCGTAGGAACGCTCGATAACCGGAGCTGCTGCTGGGTGTATTGTTGGTTGAGGTGGAGAGTAGGAAGAGTCCTGAATCAGTATTAACACCTGTGTTGGTTTTAGCTGGAGGTGGAGTGGCAGCAGGTCCTCTGGTGGCTAGAGTCCGGAAGGCCTCTAAAATGGCCAATAGTTTCTTTCTTTGCTCTGTCGGTAATAGGTACTTGTTACTTTTTGTACTGGTGCCAATGACTTTGGCTTTCTCGTAGAGTGTATTTATCTTTTGTTCGTAATTAAGACTTTCAGTTACTACGATTTTTGCTGCGTCGAATTTCCAAAGGCGCACTGACGCTTCTGCATCAGGCATAGTGCTGGTTTGTGCTGGAAGGAATATGGGTGATGATGAAGTTGAGTATAGCAATCAAGGGGTATTTTGGTGTATTTACCAGTGTAGAAATGCCGCTAGATAAGTTGCATGTAAGTTGTATGAGTATACATAAGCACTGGTCATACACTGCTCAATCAGGATAGTGGGAATACTCTGCTCAATCTGGGAAAGTGACAAATAATGCAAGTAATACTCTACTCAATCAAATATGACAGGTAACACACTGCTCAATTAAAACAGTAGCAGTAGAGCTGTACACTTCTTAATTAGTAAAGATCAATAAAAAGTCTATGGGCCGTATAATAAAGGTATAGAACATGATATCACACAGAATACAAGCGCTGAAACTATTCTCTGTATAAAAAACTAAATCAATTAAATTATTATTATTATTAGCTTAGAAGTATATAACACAAAATATCAGCATAAATACTTAATTAGTTAAATTATTGTAAGCCATAATTATATAATTATACAACACATTAAGGGAAAAAAACTTAATTAATTAATTATTATTATTATTATTATTATTTAAGATAGAAATATATTACACCAGATACTAGCACTTACTGATATATAAAACACTCACAAATATAAGTATAGTTAAATGTATATAAAACAGGGAAAATATACAAGATACGATCACTGAAACGAATCCTTGCAAAACTGCTAATATTTAGGAGGGGGTATACAGGATTAAGGAATGAATACGCAGCTAATTTACCAGCTCCTAATTGAACGCACAAAATCATAAGTTTTAAACAGCTATTATTACCCTGATGCTATTTAGGTGACTGCTATTGTGTAAATGTAATGCAATCTTAATTATTGCTCGTAGGATTATCGGATATTTTGTTTACCGGATAATTAAAACAATCCTACCTTGATTGCAGGGCTTCTTCTGCGCTTCCTTTGTTCTCTATGAAGTAAACACAATAATATTTATTAAGCACTAATAGTGCTGAGTACTACACACACACGCTGTAGAACACTGTATTCGCACAACACTATCATTGTATCACTAATTAGCTCACACTGCTACGTTAATTGTTGGTTTCAGCTGAGAAAACCGAAGTTTAAATAACTAGCGAGAAAAGTTATAGAAAACGTACAATCCGGCGGACTTTTCGAAATTCCGAGTCTTAAGTTCCTGATTCGTACTGCTACGTCACACTGCTATGTGGATTGCTCTTTTCAGCTGGGAAATCCTTGGTCGTTTATCTTCTATGTATTTCATCTGTTGAAATAGGTAATCCAAAAGCGAAGGCACAACACAATTAGAACAGATCACTATAACGCACTAATGAGCACTACACTGTAAGAACTGATGTCAACACACTCACCATGATACACACTACGCTGTGAGAACTGATGTAACACACTAAGATGAAAAATTAAGCTTTTTTTTTAAAAAAAAAAAAAAAAGTCGTAATTTGCGAACCACTAGTCAGAATTTCATCAGATAAAGAAACTTGGATCCGTCTCGATGAGCAGAGATTAAAGATGCTAACCCACTCTTGGTACACTAATTAGTTCTACTATTAAACACTGTGTATAAAAAAAACGCCCACTTCTCTATTTTTGAAGCATTCTTTGCGGTCACTCCGTAGCGAATTCCGTTGGGGAGGGGGAGACGAGTGCAACGGCCTTTTGCTCAAGGTCAGAGTTCACAATCGCATTCCACACCGTGTGTAAAATCAGAAATTTAATAATATTAAATTCCCTAATTAATAGAACGACTTGAGCTTGGTCTTAAAATGCTCCTGGAAAAGCTTACACATCCGATGGTAAAAGTTACTTGAAGATCCAATGAGGCGGCGGCTCATATAGAACGGTGGAAAGTTGTTCTAGCTTGCGTAATTACAATACTTTTGCCATTTCAGAGTTTTGAACAATCTGAAAATTCATAAATCATTTTCTATCAATCTCTCTATCACAAATCTGGTATCTTTGTAATCCTTAGATCTTCCTCTTAACGATAATGCGAAATTTGTATGCTTTAGCGCAATATTTCCGAAAGATGAGCAGGCAAGAAGCGGAGCGATAAAAAACGCGTGCGTCTCCTCAGAAGGTTGAGGGGTCTCTATTCTGTGTTGGGGGCAGCACTAATAAGGAAGTATCTAAGTTTGTTTTATATCATTAACACTAAATGAATTTACACTATTTTTCGGTAGTAAATCAGTGGCTGATCAAGGAAAAAAAATCTCTGGCAACAAAGAGTAAAAATATGTCTAAGCAAACCAATTTTATTTGAATAATGAAATTTCTTTCAAGTCATTAACTAAATTATGTATAGTAAATTTAAATTAAGATACGCGTATACCTTAACTTTAATTTTACTGAAGAAAACGTTTTTACTGTTCTGTGATTTTTCGAGATTAAAAGTCTCGAATTCGCTCTACGTCTAGGAATAAAAATATATCCTTTCTTCGTGTAGAAACAAAAATATGCTGCACTCTCCATAATATTTCTTCTTCTTGAAAAAAAAATTGGATTATTTTAATTATTGTAAAACACGCTAGAGTTGTCTGCGTAAGCGGAAGAATAATTTCAGGAAAGACTTTCCTGGGAAACTTGGCTCGCATTTACATTATATAGAACAAACAGTTTAGCGAAAACTTTCGCGCATTTATCCCGTTCTATGGGATTAAAATGACCAGTATTCAAAGGTTTACAGTTTGTATGTTGAGAGATTTTCTTGAAGAAAAAGGATTCCGCGCTTGTTGGCTATAAAACGTATAAATTTTACACGAAAAAGCAGCAGCAGTCTGAAACAGAATTTTCCCTTAAAAGAGTAACTATGTATACGAATGGACGAAGTTTAAATTTGTTTTAATAATTTTTAATACTTTATACCGAAAACGGTCAGAAAATTTAGTTTAATTGTTTCATAGTATTCCTTTAAACGTCTAAACTCGAGATGTGGAAAAACCTCGCATTCAGAAAAGTTAAAAAAGCCGAGACTATATGCTTTACCACATTAGTTAATGCTGAGCAAAATTTGAGGATTTTATACAAGATCAGTAGTCAAATAAAATTAGGTTCTTTTCAGCATTCGAGTTTAATGACTCACTTGACGTACAAAGTGAGAGAAAGGAAGAAACAAAGGGATTAGGTAATTGCTGCTTTTGGGGAGCAGATTATGAGTCAGTGACGTCACGGAAGAGCAAACCTTGTACTATAATGATCTACGTGGAAATGTGGTTTTTACACAGAAATCATGGATTCCTTTGTAGATTATTAACAACAGAGAGCTGAAATAAAATACTGTAAATTTGCGTCAATGTAATTTATTTAACAGAATAATTGCTTTTAGTGAGAAACACAATAAACCCTTGTTAAAAAGAAGTAATGAACAACTAAACCTGAGTGGTACCTGCTTTTTGGCATTCATCTGACTGGCAAACATCAGTCCTGGAGTCAATGCGAGGTAAAGTATCTGGGTTCACAGATAGATCAGTAACCTTTCTGGAATCTGGAAAAGAATGCTTGAATAATTTCTGAATTACAGTATAGAGATTTTGAAATGTAGATACATGGGGTTTATTTAGATAAATGAAATTGAGGAATTTATTACGTCCTGAGGAATGAAAAAGTAAAAACACTGCATATACTTAGCTTATGGCATGCTTGCAAGAGATGGAAAATAAGAGATCTTTATTAGCATGACGACAATTATCCATGATCTGGATGATATTTTATATGGCTATAAATTATTAAAATTTTTTTCAATTTCTACGTAGTAAAAATTTCTATGATCGTTATTCATTTGTTTTTGTGCTGTTTTTTTAACAATGTTTAATTTTTATTAATTATATACTATTTATTATACTTTCTTGCACAGAGAAGGGAGACTGCAAATAATTTGCATACAAAATAGAAGTATTACTGTAAGAGTTCATGGAAATATTACAGAGGGGGAAAGTAATTAACACTGGACGCCGCTGGAATAGGCCTCCATGCTGGATGTTGGTCGAACGGAATTTTAGCTGCCAGTTCGTCGGACTATGGCTATGAAGTGCTAGGACAACAATGTAATGTGCGGATTTAACAGACTACAGCATGATGACAGGCTCATAATGAGAGAATGCTATGTTTGACAGATGATGTAATTACATATACCATCTTGAGCAATCAGAAAATGAATAATAAATCAAAACAGCATAACTTGAACATAGTAAAACAGCATAACTAATATTTAAAACAAAAACAAATAAAATGTATATGTAAAATTTTTTTGCTCAACACAATTTTAAATAAATGCACGGAGTCTAGTGCCTTTACCTTAAACCGTGTAATTTCGAAACGTTTTTCTAGAGTTCATTTTATAATTTTCAACTACTGAATATGGAAGGTAAAGGAAAGAATATTCCTGAAAATCACTGTTTTTGAAAAAGATAGGAAAAGTTTTCCTTCTAATCAGAGTAACAACGAAAATTAGCATCAAAGTTTATAAGGTATTTCTCCCGCCATCCTAGCGTGCTTTCGTGGTGGTCTAGTGGTCTGCACGCTGGGCGCGTATTCCAGAGGTCCGTGGTTCGATTCCCGGAGAAGGCGTTGCTCATTTTCATCTCTCCTGCTTCAAAATAACCTAATGTCTCTACAAGTTAAGTATTTAAAAAAATAAAGGTGGTAAACGAAAATTTTAGAATTATTTAGAATCCTAACAGGGCTTTTATAGTAACTCTTTCAGTTATATTTTCGTCATGCATATCAAAAGGTAAAGGTATAGCATAAGACACTGATCTCAAACTCAAATTTCATGCCAGCCGTACACGACCTGAAAAGAGCTGGCGGACCGCAAACACGACCTGAAAGCAGCTAACTTAATTTCAGATTTCACTTACTAAACATTTGTCAAAATACACACAAACAATAAAAATATAGTGCAGAGGAAAAGATTCATATTTAGCCTGCTTGTCACAAATATCTATTGGTTCCTGTCACAAATATCTATTGGTTACATTTCCTAATTCAAATGTATTTGTAGCTAAATATTAAATTTTTGGATTGACATTTGCTTCATATAATTCTAATATATTGAATTAACAGCTAAATAAGTCATTTTTACTAAATTATGTTCGTTAAAAGAAGGCGAAAAATTTGTTTTATTTTTGTAAAAATTTCAACAGTTTACAAAATAAGTATATTTGGATACTGAAATTTAATATAATGGGAGTGGAATAAAAGAAAAATTTGAAAAATTGGCAAAAACTACTAAATAATACTGGAAATCCGAAAAAATTTAAAATGCGATAATTTTCAATACATGCAGGAAATCATGGATTTCTCGGAAAATTGTGAATTTTATTACTACGTATGTTTTGTGGAATGGCGCATAACATCATGACACATGACTACTAAGGAAAATATTTAAGAGCACTGCATTGATATTAAACTGAAACATGAAACAATAAAAATGATAACACGAAGCTAGTTAAAGGAAAAGAGAATAAGTCGGAAATATTAAGATTTATGAATTTAATATCGAATGTGATATCCTCTTATATACATAATTATAACGTACTTTCATGCTGGTAATAACCTTGTTAATCCCAGTTTGGGGAATTAAGTTCCACTTCTCCAGCAATGCGGTCTTTCAAGCATTTTATCCGCAGGAGGAGGATGCCTCTAACTGCTTTTGCAAGGTAGTCCAAAAAGTTCTCTGCTTGTTTCAGATCGGGAGATTTTGCTAACGACAATGTTCGCTCAATGTTTTTATTTTCAAGGAATTCGTCAACGAGGTTTGATCGAAGTGGGCGTGGAATATCATCCATAAATAGAAAGTCAGATACGTATGCACCTATGAAAAGTCTAACATAAGGTTCTAAGCTTTCGTATCAATATCTCTGGCTGGCCACAAAATCGCTGTTGAAAACATGTAGGGGTGTAAGTCCGTCTAATACCATCACGCCTAATTTTCGAAAGAAGTTTCCCGTTCCTGAGTCCGTCCACATGTAAACACGTTTAGAATAAAATATTATACTTAATCTCGACTCATCAATCAAAGCATAGGTCCACTGGAGTTCATTTCATTTTGATGTCCTTTGCTCCAATTAAAAGGGATACCTGTTGTGTTGTGAAGACAGAGAAAGACGTATCCTTTACTTTCTGGCATAAAAGCCTATTTCATTAAGCTTTCGGTTCACAGTTTGCCCTGATACAACAGTTCTTATAACAGCATCAAGCTCTGAACGTAATTGCCGAGCAGTTCTTTTACGACCTTGGCCAGGTCTCCGTATAACAGTTCGAGTGTTCTGAAATTGTTTCCATAGCGTAGAGACTATCTGTCTCTTGAAATATTCATACATTTCACGGTTTCCACGATATCTGCTTAGCTTCTAAACGGCCTATGGTTCGCCACTTCACGGATTCTTCCAAATGATACTTCAGAGTCATAACAAACTGTTTTTAATCAAACGCAGATATTCACTTAGATATGCACTTTGCGTAAAGCACTTGATTCATCATCAGATAATGTTATACCTTAATCTGCATGTTAGAAACCGTTTAATCACTTTTGATTGGATAATGCTAATCAGGCTTGTCTATCACACATATCTATAAAAATGGATTAGATCAATTGAACATTTCACAGAATATCATTATTTTGAGGTACGTAAGCATCAATTTGGGCCTGAGTTCTTTACGATGTGCATATCATCATTTGGAAGACGTACTTGAAACATATTTCGTAGCTCTGGATCTGTTCTTTTATTCTCTACACGAAGCAAATATACGCAACACAAACAATTTATCTATTATTTTAGATTTGATAAATTTTATTTTGTATTTTCATATTTGGTATTTTGTGCGATATTTAAGAGTTGATCGCCTATTACATTTGTGTATGTTTAATTCCTTTCTTATTTTATAGTAGTTGAAATTCTGAGCAAAATGCTAAAGCAAGATTCAGGAAATTATGACAGAACTGTCTGATGAAGTCTCGAAGATATTACAGTACTCGTGTGTCTCGCAAAATGCAAGCTGATTATAATAAAAATTCCATTTTCGAAAGGCTGTAAAAAAGAACCACCGATCAGTATTACCTGAAAGTTGACCTGCATATACACTGAGCAATGAGAATATATCTTCCGAAAGAAAAGTAGTTCAAAGTTTTATCAATAAATGGCGTTGCGCTTGTCATAATATGCTAATTAAAAGACGTGACATGAGAACCACATAATAGACTTAAACGAAGTGTGTGCAGTTTCCATAAATCTGTGTCTGAAAATCTCATCATGACTTAGTCAATAAATGATCGGGCTCTGCTTGTGAAGCTTCTTCTTGATAAGAAAGATGACTATGCTTCAAGTGCTCTGAAGAAATGTGTCTTTTCAATACACCAAATTCAGCCTCATGAAAAGAGGTAAACTTTGTTCAAACAGAAGCCTTATACATTAGTTTCATAGTCTGATGGCTACCAAAAGCGAGCCGAATTAATAAACTATAATTTTGGGGAAATTATATTTAAGAAAACGGAAACAATTTCCTTCTTTCAGTGCCTTTATACAGTTTTCCGTTAAATTTAATTTGATGCGAAGATATGAATAATAGATTCTCTGAGGACTAATCTCGCTCATGATCTAATCAAAAGTATAATTTAAATCTAAGGAAATAGTTTATTTCTTACAGTCCTGATTATTAAACATATATTGTTTAATCTCTATTATTCCATCTCTCTGAGACGTCAAGAGTAGGATTCGTGTCTTAAGGGTTAATCCTCCCAAAATTTCTGTTCATTTCGTACCCTTGATATGACAGAAGAGTTTCTCATACTTAACGCTGGCGGGTAGAATTTTCCTATTTCTTTAAAATTCTTTCATATTCACAGTATAGAATTGGAACATTGATTAATTATGGAATACTCTTTATTCTGTGAAGAAAACTTCTTTTAGGCATCCGTTATGGAGGACTACAAACAGTCTGTCTTCTTCAGGCCTGTATTGATTATTTAATGCCTTATACTATAATTATTTAACTGTACTGAAATGTATAGAATCAACCTTCGTGAGAATTTAATACCCTTTCGTAAAATAAGCTTTTGTTGCTTACCACAACATCTGTATATTCATTTGCCTTCCTCTAGGATTTCAGTTGTTTTCCTAGGATTTTACTTATTTCGATGATTTTCAGCGCCATTATACGAATTGTACATGTTGGTGACGAAGACAGTTTAATAGAAACTGAATGCAGATAAATCTAATGCGTCTCGTAATAAAAGGGTTAATTCAGATGAACTCAAGTAATAAACATTTACCATATGTTAACTTCAACAAATCTTAAAAACTAAGTGATAATTTGACTCATCTCAAACGAAACACAGTTTAATGAAATGGAATACATTTACTAACTACGCCTAGCGAAGCTGTATAGCGATCTGAACCAAATATGCAAATAAATAAAATAAAGTTTTTATAAAATAAGCTTTTATTTAAAACTCATAAAATAGTTAATTAATTTGTAGAGTTTATA